GTTTTTTGTTTTTTTTAACAGTTGGACATAATAAAACATAATAAAAGTATTGAATGAATTTTAGTTGACGTCTTCAGCGCTTACACCCAGTTCTTTTCTTCATTTATGGACTTCTTTGTTTGAATTTCTCTGTGAATGTCAAATTCTTGGGATGTTTGCAACGTCTTTTAGAAAATCCTTCACATGTCAAACTCTATTTTTATTATCTGCATCTCATCAGGGACCCTCTTTTCTCTTTGTGTCCCAGCTAGTGAGTTCTCTCACAGACACTGTGAAGATCAGAATGATTTGTTGCCTCTGTAAATACCATTTTAAGTCTGAATGACTGAAAGCCAACACTTTACTAGATTTGCGAAGCCATTAATGTTACGTATCTCATGTCAGAAAAGAGCTTTATTGGGTTCTGGGGGTGAAACATGAGACGTCTCTGCTGAAATGACATGACTACATAAAGGGTAATGTGGACACAAAGGAGAGCAGAACCTTTTTCAGACAGTCCTACCTATGATAGTAAAAAAAAGGAGAAAAAAACAGTAAGTCCTATCTAATACAGTAGAGTCAAACAGCAGTGTGAAAAATTAATCCTGGCGAAGCAGCTGGGATTTTTTGCGGTCAGCTCTTTGCTTTATGGCCTTTCATCAAGAAGTAATTACAGCATAGATAGATGATATCAGTGACAGAGGCAGTTAGCCAAACAAGCCTAACAGGAGCTATATTAACCACACACACATTAACAGGTAAATTATATGAGAGCAATTTCCTTTAGTCTACATATGTGAATGTAAACAATCACAAACCTCCTCCTGTAGTTAGTCCTTTAAAATGAAGCATTGATGTCCAAGTGAAGCATTTACTATCATTTGAAAAGAGGACTTTGGACCAACAATCCGCCGTCCAGGTGTTTTTCTCTTTAAAGGAAAAGTCCGGTCAGCGAGGAATAATCAATGGATCGTTATTTATACCTAAAACTAACACGTTAGTGGTGATTTAATGAATTTAGCGTTAGCCAGTAAAAAAATACAGAGTCTGGGAGCGGCCATTTTTGCCCAAATATAGTAACCCCTCCCTCCTGCCATCTTCCGGCAGTGACGTCACGGTG